AAAATCCTCTCCTTTCATATTCACTTATAACTACTCCAGTTCAGCTTTTGTTCCTACCTACTTTACCAAAACTGCATTGGTCAATTCTCAATTCTCCTCTTACTTGAATTATTAGAAAGATTTGATGTAGTTAATCCCTCTGTCCTCCTGATGTACTCTTTTCACTCAGCTTCCAGAACACTCCACTCTTGGTTTACTTTATTGGTCACTACTTAGTCTCCTTTGCTATTTTTTCTTTTTCTTCTCAAACTCTTCATGTTTAAGTGCTCCAGAGCTCATCCTTTTTCTTATTCTCTATTTTTCATTCATTCTTTTGGTAATCTCATCCAGAATCACAACTCTGAATACCATCTCTATGCTAATTTTCCATCTCCAGGCCAGACTTCTCTCCTGAACTTTAGACTTGCGTATTCAATTGGCTCTTCGACATCTTACTTAGCGTCATCTAATGACAACTCACAAATGTTGAGTTTAAGCTGTTCTAATTCCTGATCTCTCACCATGAAAACTGTTTCACCACTGACTTTCCCTATCTCAAGTGACAGAAACTATGTTTTTCTGGTGGCTCAGGCCAAAAACTTTAGACTTGGACTTCTCTCTTTCTTCCACTCCCACACACTGAATCATTCAGCAAATCTAGTTGACTTTAATTTCAAATATATCCAAAATCCAAACACTTCTTACAAACTTCATTGCTACCATCCTGATGTGAGCCATCATCACTTCTCTCCTGAATTATTGCAATATTCTAATTTATGGATTAGCAAACTTTTTTTGCGAAGGGTCGTATAGTAAATATTTTCTGCTTTGCAGGCCATATAGTCACTGTGCAACTACTCACCTCTACTGTTGTAGTGCAAATGGACATAGCTGTGTTCCAATAAACATATATTTACAAAAAAGCAACTAGTTGGTTTTGGACCACTAGCCATAGTTTACTAACTCCTGGTCTAACTGATCTGCTTCCTTCCATCCTTGCCTCACTGTTATCTTTTCTCTACACAGAGGAATCCTTTCAAAACTCAAGTCAGATCATATCATTTCTCTGCTCAAAACTCAAAACTCTGCAATGGCTCGCCTTCTCAATAAGAATAAAAGTAAAATTCATTTCCGTAACCTACAACCCTACATGATCTGGCCCCAGTCATATCCATAAACCTCATATCTTACTACACTTTCTCCCTCATCCACTCCGCTATAGCTGCCCTGACCCCCTTGCTGTTTCTCAAATAGGCCAGGCACACTCAAGACTTAGGACATTTGCATTGACTCTTCCCTCTTCACCTAAATATGCATATGGCCAAAGTCCTCACTCTCTTCACTTCTTTGCTCAAATGTCACCTCTTCAATGAAGCCAATACTGACCACTATTTAAAATTACAACCTTTCTCCATGACTCTCAATCCCCTTACTCTACTCTATTTTTCCCCTTTTTCCCCCAAAACTTACCACTTTCTAACATAAAAAATAATTTACTAATTTACATTTATCGCATCCCTATCTCTCCTAGCATACAAGCCACACAAGGCCAGGGATCTTTGGGTTTTATTCCCTGATGTATCCTGAGACCCTTGAGCAGTGCATGGCACATGGTAGGTATTCAAAAAATATGTGTTGAATGAATGAATCCATGAAGCCTCCCTCAAATCTCAGACATGTAGTGAATCACTCTGTTCTCTGTATTACTTTAACTCTTTGTACATGCCAATCTTTTAGTCCTTTTTATCCTGATTTATTATTATTTATGTATCTGTCTTTCCCATTACTGAGCCATGATTTTCTTGGACATTTTATATATGTTTATTTTCAGAAACTAATACAGCCTGTCACGTAGCAAAAGGTCAAATCATGCCAACTTAATGAAAGTACAAAGGTGCTGTATATACGTAGTTCTCTGACACTGAATCACTAACTCTGAAAGTCAGTAATTATTTAAAAAGTCTTTCCTCAACCCCACTCTAGATACATGTATACATACACTCTGCTAATTGAGATCATTTAAAACTATTTTTCACATATTTGCTTAATTAGTTTGCAGTGACCTCTGCGAAAACACTGGCCTCTGATGATTATAAGAGGTAGTTTTCCGGCATGGACACCAAAGCATCAAAGAGTCAGCTGGAACTAAGGAAAGCAATAACACAACTGGTTTTAATTACTCCTGACAGGCAGCTGAATATATCTGACACAGGTCTTCTCCCCAATACATCACTCAAAACAGGCCGGTTACAGGAAATGGTGGAGAGAAAAAAACAGAATGGGGCCAAAATATGCCCATAATACAAAGCAGATCATCTTTCACATGGATGACCTTATTCATTTTGTTTTATATTTTTATAATGGTCCTGAATCTATAAAATTGCTGACTCCTCGAGACTTGGCATTCTTCTATGCTGGTGCTTAGGAATGGTGGCTCAGATTCTCAGAAAAGGAAGTAGGTGAAGATTGCACCCATTCATGAATCACTGTATAAACCAAGGGGTCCTCCAAAGTTCATTTAGGATTGCAGGCATGTTTGCAATTAATTCATCTGTGAAGTACAGGTGAGCACCTTCTACTTCTATTCAACATTCACAGAAGGATTAACTTCATCTATAACCTGGTTGGTTCTTTGGACTTGTTGCTTAGCAGGAAACAGGTGAGGATTAGGAGTTGCTTTGTTATGACCTACTCACAATTTTAACATCGCTCTCTTATGAGGTACACCCTCTCATCTGATGAAACTATGGGCTTTGGGTTGGCCATATTCTTGGGTTGGCTCGTATTGAAAAATGAGATTTCCTTACTAGGCAGGATTTTATCTTAGGACCTAACTTTCTTGTTAAAATCTACTCCCAGATGTTTGTCTGATCCCTGAGCTCTTATCCCTGCATTTCCTGGTTCTTGCCAGCTTGCATTGTTCGATCACTATTTTGATCAGTTTTGCACATCCCAGTGCTCATGAAACTTCAGAAGCCCTCAGTTTTTCCTGCTGCTTTGCTCTGATTCTTGTTTGGTGCCTCCAGAAGCTTAGACTGTCCCCTGAGTCTTTCTACTTATAACATTGCCTTTCATAGTTTCAACAAAATTTGAGTTCCTGCGGTGTAGTGGGCCTATGTTAAAGACTGAGACTCTAACCATGAAGGCTCCATTAAGGAGCTCAGAATTTGATAGAGGAAATAGCAAGTAAGCAAGTGATTACAATGTCACATAATAAGTGCTGTGATATGTTAAGCAGAGGATATGAGGGTAGCATATATTGGAAGCACCGCACCCAGTACCTAGGGAATGAGAGGAGCTTTCCCAGAGTTAGCTACATCTAAGCAGTCAGGGCCAGACAAAAAAGTAGGAGAGATGTCCTATGCTGAGGATGTAACATCAATAAATGCCATGAGCCATAAATCACAGCTCCTTCAGGGGACTACAAGTAGTTAAGTGTAGCTGCAGGGAGTGTGGAAAAACCGAGGCTAGAGAGGGAAGTCAGGGCTAGATCATGAAAGGCTTTATATGTCATTCTAAAGAAATAGGACTTCATCCTGCTGGTGATGGGGAGTCACTGAAAGTTTATAATTGACGTGGTCAGATTTATATTTTAGAGGGACTGGCATCAGTGTGGAGACAGGACTTCACCATCTAGCTCTTTCCCTGAACCTGGCCCACATCCTTGCCTGCCCTACTTTATTCTTCTGTCGCTCTGAAGAGCCCAGCGCCACACCCCTTTTCCCATCAGTATCCTCAAATAAAACTAATCATCAGAATCTGTTTGAGATAAAAAATACAAATTATCTGAACCCACTTCACAAACACTAGACTCTCACTGGGACAGAGCCTATGGATCTCTATTTTACAAGAGCTTCCCAAATGTTTCTGAAGCAGTTGAACTATGGACAGAATTTTGGAACTAATGTAGCCTCTTACTTACACCACAACAAGGATGTGTTGATAAATATCAGCAGTGTGTTTGGCTTACTGAATTAGATTGAAGACGGCTCTTCACTCCAAATGTCTTCCTTCTACAGTATCTATGATTCTACTTACAAGACCGGAAAATTCAGTCCCTTACTTGCACCCTCAAGAACTTTCCCTTGTTCTTTGAATAACAGATACAAACCTTAACATGACCTATTCAGCAGCATGATCTGACTCCAATGGCCTCTCCTCTCAAGCCACTCTTCCCTTTGCCTTTTACGTGCTATTAACACTATAGAGGGGGATGTTGATACAATTTACTCCCCAACGTCTACTTTCTCAATTAAAGCAAGGATAGATATGGAGTTGGGAAATTGTGTAGAGCAATAAAGATCTGGAAAATTTCTAAGGAGAATGGAAAGTGACTTGACTTAGGAAAAGAAAAAGGACTGCTGATCAACGTCTAAGACTCAACTGAGTTAAAAATCTTACGTCCATATCCGTAGGACAATTATGTCATTTCCTCCATAAGGTCAGGAACCCAGGAGCAGAGAACATTGATAATTGTGTTAATCAGCATCTGAGTATTGGCAAAGCAAAAAGTCAAGAGGTAAGAGAATTGAGGGTGCTGGTGTAAAAGAAATAGAAAATTCCTGGTATGGGCCTAAAAAGATTCGGCTAATTTGCTGCAAGACACAGAGGATTAACACATGAGCACCCTTGTTTTGCCATATTCAGTCTGTCTGGTAATGATTCACCATTTGATTTAGTTCTGGTTTCTGGCTTGTTCACCAGTGGCTCTAACTCACCTTCTGTTCTGTTACCCTAGAGCATGGTGAGTAACACACAACAGCTAGAAAGTGTCGGGGTAGAGTAAGTAACATAATTTTCCAGGACATAAATGAAACTACCAAGGTAACATTATGTTGTAAATGCTTTATAATGATTTTTTTCCTCCTAAGTTAGAGCTATGACTTGCAAATATGATTTTTACGGTGATAGCATATCCATGCAACAGACTTTCTTTATTTAAATTGTTTCTTTGCATTTCATAGAAGACTCAATATATATCAAAATACAAATATATATAAAAATATAAATATGTGCTTCAACATGAAGACATTAGAGTGTTTTAAAGACAATAGCAGTTATTTTTAAACATTCTAATAAAAATTAAATTACATTTTGCTTTTGAAAGATTTTAGATTATTTTTAATTAAACTAATGCCTTAAATTAATCCAGCTATTTTACTTTTCAGGTTTATGATTTCCCTTCTCTTTCCACCGTACATTCGCATCAATCAAGGAAACAGGAGCAGCTGCAGTGAAGCGAGCAGTGTTGGAAGCCAATGGCTAAAATTAGATTATCAATGACATTTACTTATATGTTCACAGCTGAAATTTCAAGGGTACAACACTTTCTCCTAAAAGGAGACACTTCCCCATCACTGAAATGCAGACTTCTGTTATCAAATTACATCCATAGTACATCTCTGGGTGGTGAAAGTGACCTGAAACAGAAAGTGAAACCATATACTTTTTCTGTTAAGAGAAAGGCTAAAGACAAAATTAAGTAATGGACATGTTTTCATAAGATTATTTTGACTGGTGCCTTCTTAATTAGGAGGAGATTTTTGTCAAAGAGAAGTAGTAGCTCCAAAGAGGAAGGAAGTATAATGTATCTAGCAGGAGGGCAGAGGAAGGGAGTCTAGACTTTACCCCACCCATCCTGCAATACTCTGTAATGCAAACCTTCAGGGACCAAGGCAGTTTAGAATTTGTGAGCACTGCTCCCTCTTCTGTTTTTGTGCACCCTTGTACATTTTGGCTGTATATAAGCAGTTTCTTAAAAATTTTTCCCTGATGTTTCACTCCATTTATCTTTTGGAAAATCCAGAGTGTGTGCATGTACTTTAATGATTAGTGGAAACTTGTACATACTACATCAACTATTTCCAGACATGCATTGCATCCCTTCTCTCCATCCCTCCATGAACTATAAGCGGCACTTCAGAGGACAGCATCTCTGTCCCAAAGCACCACTATGCAGTCCAGTCGTTCATTCCCACTGCTGGCCAGGAGTGTCCACGCTGTGCAGTGCGAACATCCACACCGGGAAGCACTGCTCTGGAAAGCCGTCCTGCTTCTCCTGGCCCAGAACCACCAGCCCACTCTTCCTAATGAGGCTCTGGAAGATGTCCATGTCCCGAGTCACACTGCTGTCAGAGAGATCGAAGATACAGCCCTCCCGAGCCACATTGTCCTTCAGTATGATGACGCCGTTTTCTTTCAGGCCGTCTCGGCACCGGGAAAGAAACGCAAGAAGGTCTTTATCGGTCAGGTACCCTACAGGTGAGGCCAAGTAAATGTGGGAATCGGATGAAATGGTGGATGGAGAGGGAGGTGACTAGGAAAGACCACAAGGCTATGAATCAGGAGACCATTTGTTCACTCATTTGTGAATTATTTATTGGCCTGAATTAAAATAGTTGCAGGAGGCTTTGAGAATTTAGATAAGAGGACGGTCATCCTCTTTGAGGGGACTCAGTGCCCTGTCTATAAAATAGATATTATACTACCTGCTCTATCTACCTCACGGGCACGAGGTAAACTATTGCCCATCCCATGGGTCCCCTCCATGTCCTCCAGACAACACATCTCTATCATCACTCCTCTTCATCACACACACACACACACACACTCAGACTAAAATTTAATTCACTGCTGTCTCATTTCCTGGGGATTTAAATCTATGAAAGTGTAGTTTTGCCAATAAACGGGGATAAACTTTTTTCTGGCCCCACTTTTTAAAGTTTTTCAAGTATTTAGATTTCTTCTAGGATTTAGGGTGGTCCAAAGGTGCTCCACCCCTAAAGATGGGAATTTTCAGGCTTGCAAAGAGGCTGATAAGGGAGAAATCTGGAGGACCAGAGCTTTTGGGGAGTTCCCATGATACCAAAGGCTAGCGAACTGCTCCAAGCACAACTACAGCTAGATCTCTGTTTACGTCCTTGCTCCCTCTCCACAAGTCCTCAATTAGCCCAGGTGTTGTCTTCTCTAGCTGGGAAGGGGAGAAGGGCAGAGGCAACGCCATGCAGGACTAACCAGAGACCCACTGAATCCAGATGACATCGTATCTCCCCAGCGGAGGTGTGAATTCCTGCAGGCTGTAGCAGTGGTAGCTCTCTACCTTGTCCCCTTTGACCTGCAGGTAGTTCTGGGCTTCGAGGAGGAACGATTCCATCATGTCCACCAGCTCCACACTGTTGAAAACTGGCAACAAGACATGCTTGCTGACCCTTCCTATCCCGGAGCCGCAATCCAAGGCGCAGTCCGTGCCAGCTCTCCCAGGCCCCTGCAGAAAGGTACCTTGTGGAGTACTTCAAGTGCAGTACCTACCCTGAGTCTTGGACACTCCATTTACCTCTTTAAATCAGCTTTAGTTAGGTTGATTTCATACGATAAAATGCACGATTTTAAGTGTACCACTCAATGAGTCTGAACAAATGTGTACAGGTACGTACCCACTACCACAATCAAGTTATAGAGGTTATATTCAATTACATTTTCTAAGAAATATCCAAACATTTCTAGTGTTTGCTTTATTTTATCTAAATATAGGTATTTAAAAGAATTTCAAAACAGAATTTTAGAAAACAATGGCTTAGGTTTAGAAATTTGGTAATTTCCCTAAAAAATGGGACATTGAAAGCCCTACAAAAATAGAACTTTGTTAACTCTAAATGTGAGTCAAACTCACAGCTAAATGGACCTGCACTGTAGCTTATTGCTTTGCAAAAGAAAAAAAGTGCAAAGCAATGAGAGCCTCTCTGAGTTTTAAAATTACTTTGAAAATTCACTCAGAGAACACATTTCAGTTCATATTGGGATGATTGAAATTTTACTTTTTTCGAAACTGATTTCGGGGGCTCTGAAGTATCTACTCTTCTTCTGCTGATGGTAATTTTTAGGACCTGAGCTGAGGGAATGCGAACTGTCCCATTCTCAGGCCAGGATTTTACCTCAAACTCAGCCCTGATGGCACACAGCACATTCACGTGGATAAAGGGTGGTTGCAGCAAAGTCTCCTTGTCTCTTTTCACACTAAAAATTGTTTTCTGCTTTTGTACCAAAAACTATATGATTATTTGGCACAAAACCCCTTAAAATTTTTTTTTTAAAGTAAGTCTGCATTAAAGTAACTGAGAGTAAAGGATGGATAGACAGTGGTGGGAGGGGGAAATCAGCCAATGAAAACTTTCTCAAACTTGCTTCTATAAAGTAATATATACATAAACATATATGTATGTGTATATGACCAGCTGAATCTTTGAGTTGGTATATATCTCAAAGATTCAGCTGCTCTAAATTATTTGGTCCTAATTGGGATGGCTGCTGAATAGGTTTTGTGCTAGAAATTATAGTAACAAGATACTTGAAGTTGCCAATCAAGATCTTAAGGAGAAAGCCTTCTCTCGATTTCTCAGGAACTAAGGATTAAAAAAACATTTGGCTGAGAATCCAAAGGTGAAGTTCGAGCAGAAGGAAACATCAGAAATGCTGCTTCCCAGTCCACCCAAAAGGCCTTTTTTACAGCAAGAAAGGTACAATGAAGAACAAAAAGTGAAGCAATTATAGCTTCTTTTCAAATGGAATAATGATAACAATGATTTATTGAGCGCTTATGCGTAGCAAGCTCTTTGCATCTGTAATAACTGTAATAGTTGAAACAACCCCAAAAGATAATGATTATTCTCCAATTTGGAGACGAGGAAACTTAGATTTCTAAAACCACACAGCTAAGGGCAGAACTAGAATTTGACAGGGAACTGTGTGAATCCAAAGCCAGTTCTACCTTAGGATTGTCACCTCAATTGCCAACTCTGATTCCCTTAGTAGTGTCTGTCTAATGCTATGTTGAAAAGAATTCTAAGGCTTCATTCAGACTCAGCAGGAAAGAGGTCTGTGATTGATTAGTAATGTCTGCCTTGAGCGTGGGAAGGAGAAGTGGTAGTTCATGTGCCATGTGTTTGCCATTCCTACTTACACTATGCCACCTCCCTCATTCAGATATTATAATTCAAACTAAACTAATTCAGAAAAAGGCGTAGGCTAAAGGTTTATGTTGTGAAGGCCATAAAAGAAGCATCTTCCAAGTAAATTCATAACATAAACAAGATGGAGGAAAGTATAGGGAAATTATTTTAAGCTACTGAAAATGACTTTAGTAGAAAATTGTGTGCTCAATTAGAGATTGTCATTACAAATTTTTTCTTATCATTACTTGGCCCTAAAGTCTCATATTGCTCACATTACCGTAGCAAGTGGCTTTAGAAGTAGAACCATGGAACAATAAAGCAAAGAGACCTCAGAGATCTATGCCACAGGACTTCAAGAAGATTATAATAGCCGAACTTTTTCTCAGTGAATAAACAAATATGAAGCTGCCCTGGTTAAAGGGAGGCAGGGCCTCACCCACTCAGCCTTCCTGTCAATCTCCCAATAAGCCCTCGAAGGATCTCAGCAAAACCCTAGAGTTTCTAAACCACTCATGTCTACTTCCCCTGCTTTTTCAGACATAGAAACTGAGACCCAGGGGCTGGCCCCGTGGCACAAGCAGTTACGTGCGAGCGCTCCGCTGCAGCGGCCCAGGGTTTGCCGCTTCGGATCCCAGGTGGGCACCGACGCACTGCTTGGCAAGCCATGCTGTGGCGGCATCCCATATAAAGTGGAGGAAGATGGGCACGGATGTTAGCCCAGGGCCAGTTTCCTCAGCAAAAAAAGAGGAGGATTGGCAGATGTTAGCACAGGGCTGATCTCCTCACAAAAAAAAGGAAACTGAGACCCAGAGAGGTGAAATATTTGAAATAGAACTCCCTTGAAAATTCTCATCCTCTGATTCATATTTTTCACCAATTTAGATGTGTTATATTTGACTACAGTTATTCTTGAAACAATGGTTATTTACAAATACAAAAAGGTGTCTTTCACCCAAATCCTGTGTACCTCTAGCCTCTAGCTACTATTGCCTAGTTCCCTTTATTCCATTTCATTCCACATGATTGGCACTGTCTCCTACATCCTGGCACCAAGTCTTTCTCTGTCTCTCATTCACATGCAGCTCCTCTGAGAAGGGATATTTAAAGACAGATCGCAGGGATAACATCTCTCGCCTCTTGGACACCATGGCTGCCCGAAGCTGTGACTGTGTTGAAATCTGATGCCCTTCCAGGAATGTGACCAGAACTACACACAATGTGTGATTTTAAAACAAGATGTTTTGTCATTTTCATTTATTATGCTATCTTCATACTTATGGATTCATATAAAACAGTAAAATATTCTTAGGAATTTCATTTTAGTTTTGATTCTGCCTATACATTTTGTTTTGAAGAACATTATTTTAAGTTCATCCAGTGGAGTTTAAAACTAAAATAAACGTGCTAAATGCCACTGTATAAAAACCACGAAATATAACAAGTTAGACCCAGAGTTTTCAGTCATCCAATCTTGAGAAATGTCAAAAGATAAATGCCTCAAATACTGATTACTTTTTATAAATTGCTACTTGCCCCCACTAGAAAGCTAAAACGGAGGAAAGTTATCAGCTATGCCATTGACGTCATCTTAGTATCATTTGCTTATTTGCTAAAGTAAACATGTTTACAACAAGTTTAAAAACCTTTTCCCACTGTCCCATGTCACTAAGTGTTGAAAGGAAAGCAAAACTTTAAATTAAATAATTTGCCTTTTCCCAGTTGACACAAGAATAAATCATGTCAGGTGCTCATATCCCCTAAGTCCTTGTATCTTGACCTGGATACTAATTTAGCAGATTATTAAGGTCAAAGTACCAAAATATCATTCCTTAAAAAAAACTGTGTTTGTGCTTAGTTAGAGGTCACAGCTTCACAATGAGCCTTGTCTACTAAGAAGGACTCCTTATATTTGTTTGAAAAGGGCAGGCTGTTCTTTTCCAACATAAATACACAAGCACAAGGCTGTTTCCTTTCCCAGGTTCGTGGGCGTGTGTAGGGGCTCTGTCTGACCAGCATCCCTGTGGTCAGCTTGGCATTCCACATGGAGTGACAAGACAGCTGGATTACTAACTAAGCTTCTGAAATGCATTGGGATCAAAGTCGGCCTCACCACGAGGCAGGCAGGAGGGACTGCTCTCGGCCAGAGTGGAGGAGAGTTGAGGTCTGTGGTCCACAAAAAAAAAAAACCAGCAGGGATTTTTCTGCTTCATGAGACAAATGGAAAAAATATGTCACAGTGAAGAGCAAGGAGTTTGGTGTCAGACAGACCTGGCTGGGCTTATGTCCCAGCTCTGTCTCTTACCGGCTGTGTAACCTTGACAACTTATTTAACCTCTCCAAGCCTCGGTTTCCACAACTGTAAAAACAAACATAAGGACAGTACTTACCTCCTAGAATTGTGTGAAGAGCACATGAGACAGTTCTTCTAAAAGGCTTAGCAGAGTGACAGACCATCTCAGAAAAAGCACTCAGTGAAATCATTCGGCAACACTGATTCTGAAGTCCTCCACGTTAACCTGACCTATAAACAGCCATGGCCATCATCCCCACTCCATGGTCCTTTATGGCTGCAGCTGATGTCCAGACACTTCCGCCCCGATGGGTGCTCCATCCTAATCCTGTTTTCTCTACTCATGCACTCGGTGCTCCAGGGAGGTTGGATGTGAAGAAAACCTCACCTCAATACTAGAGATATCCTTAACATTATGCTTCCAAGTAGGTTGACAACCTAACCCCAAATATTTATAATTTTTCCTTTATCAGAATAAAATGGGCTCCAAATTTCAAACAAATGACTTCACAATGAATTGGAACAAAACCTATTTGCCAGTTAGGACTTTGTGTTTTCAGGAGCACCAACAGCAGCTTTCTTGTTTGGGTTAAACATATTCTAACAACTAAATGAAGTTCCTTAAAATATAATGAATGTATTTTATGAAAGCCTTTTATTAGTAACAGTAGTAATAAATTAGGTTTATTGGGTAATAATTATGTGCACTAAAGCAAGCACTTAATATATATTATCTCTTTTGATCTTCACATTATCCTATGAGGTAGGATCTATGGTTATGCCCTAGCCACAGGTAAGAAAACTGAAGCTTAGAGCATTTAAGGAACAAGCCCAAGGTTGCCTATACAAGCAGTAAGTAGAAGAACCATAATGACTCTAGAGGCCAAGATGGCCCCTACACTATACTGTCTGCCTCCATATGACACGGAAGTAAGGAAGTGGAGTTTCACCCAACACCAGGACCACAAACGGATCACATTCTTTCAAGGCAATGTCTGAACTATGTATAAAATAATATAAAGAGATTCTGCTGTACTTATTTTTAAGCCAAACATAAGCGTGCATTTCCTTACTACATCAAATTTTTATTACAGGCAATCAATAAATCACCCCAAGATCCCAAAATGGCATGATCTCCCATCAATCATCTGGGTGTCAACTGTTTATCTATGAGACTCTAAAAGAGATATCTTCTTAATCCCATAAGTGTAATATTAGCATCGCTAGTTCACCTTCCCTGAAGCATGAGAAATTAGCTGGTGCTAGGAGGGTGAAATGCCAAGTGGGATAAAACAATGGTTTGATGTGACCTGTTCTTTCTGAACATCTTTTTTGTGTGTGTGTGTGAGGAAGATCAGCCCTGTGCTAACATCTGCCAATCCTCCTGTTTTTTCGCTGAGGAAGATTGGCCCAGGGCTAACATCCGTGCCCATCTTCCTCCACTTTATATGGGATGCCGCCACAGCATGGCTTGACAAGCAGTGCGTCAGTGAGCGCCCGGGATCTGAACCGGTGAACCCTCGGCCACCGCAGGGGAGCGCGCGCACTTAACCGCTTGCGCCACCAGGCTGCCCCCACCTTGTGAACATCTTAAAATAGACTTTCAGGCTAAACTCTTGGCTGAGCCATATCGTTTTATTACGACTTAAGTGACAACACAGAAATATGTGAGCTCAATGTTTGCAAGGACTTTGCCTCCTCATCAAGCTGCAGTTGAATAACTCACCCCAACAAATTTTCTAAGAAATTCCCGAGAGGCCTGGATATCTGGGTTGGACAGTTCAATGAAATTTCCCATCATACCCTCTTCTGTAGCTGGTACTTCTTGGTAGAAAAGTTTAGCTCTGGCATAGAACTGCATCTCACCATTGATGACTTGACTTGTTAAAGCATACAGTTTCACTGCAAATGAAATATTATTAATATTTATTAATTTTTATATGACAGAACAAGTTCAACCTTATCATGCATTGAATTTCCTCTTACGAGCCTGCAAATTTGTGCTGTGGAGGAAAGGCCACTGGTTTGAAGTCAGAAGATCTGTGTTTGAGTTTTGGCTCAGTGACTTACTTGCTATGTAACCTTGAGAAAACTTCTTAACCCCTCTGATCTTCAGATATCTCATGTATAAATCACAATTGTGGCATTTCTATGATTTAGTACCCCTATAATTTAAGAAAACTATAGTTTATCACTGTACTACAGAAATTTTAACAGTTTGCTACAGTAGAATAAAGAATGTCACAAGTTTCACAGTGAGTTTTATCTTTGAGCTCCAAATGTTTTATGAGAATTTAATCATTAATCCTTACTTCTAATCATGAGGTAGATTAGGGGTAGCTAATTTTTCACCTCTTTTTCAAGCAACTCGTACCCAAATATCTCTTTATACCAACATTACAGAAAATGTGCTTGAGCTCTATCTTCTGAAAATAAAATAATAAAAAGAGATATAATATTTATTGAGCAACTATTCTGTACCAGCTAGTGTGCTAGGCACATTCGCGTATACTATGTCATTTCATTATTTCAGAAACCATATGAGGTATTATATTAAGACATTTATCTTTAGAAAAACATATGTTCCACCTTCTGAGAGGTAAATAAGTATGCATTTAAGTGTGTTTTGTAAACCAAAATGCACCATTGCAGATATAAAATATTTTCATTAGAGGACACTCAGGAGGAAATGATAGAAAGGGATGAAAAGGAGGAACTTCTGGTTCAAGGTTGTAGAACCAGAATACATGCATTTGTTTCCTCTCCTTCCAAATACTCCTCAAGAATTGTTTTAATAAATTCAACCCATAACAGTGAAGAAAATGAGAGGGGGCCACAGATGAATTCATAATTTCAACAAATTTCTGGAAGACAAAAAGCAGATGAAACAAAGCTAAAGAATTTGCAGCCCAGGATAATTGCAAAAGGAAATAAGAGTTAATAAAAAATCTGTCTATAGACCAACCAGTAAGGGGACAAATGCACCCTCTCAAAAGCAACAGGCAGCACAGCTGCAATCCTACAGGGGAAAAAAATATGTCTTTTATCTAAAAAAAATTAAATGAATTGCCTAAAGAGAACTAGACCAGTGAGTGTTGGGATCTTAGAACACTACTCATTTTGGCATACAAAGGACTCCAAGTGCCTCACCTGCTCATACTCATCAGAGTCTGGAAATATCTACCTGCACATGTAGAGCTTTTTGTCATTCTTTCTCCTCAGAGGAGAAGTATGTAACAGAGCAAACCTTCTCCATTACCTAGAATCATTGACCCTGTCCTTTATTCCTAACTATGAATAAACAATGATTTCCAAACAGATGGGTGTAAAATGGCAGCCTGTGGGAAAAAAATAGAGACAAACAATCAGAACTGATCCCAAAGGAAATAGAAATAATTCAGGAAATGGATGAGGATTTAAGCCAAAACTAAACAAAAAACTCCTTGGAGAGATATGAGAACTGGTGCATCCATAAATCAAAGATAAAGATGCCAAGAAAATGATAATTCAAAGAATAACACAGAATTCTTAGAAATTAAAATTTTGATTACCAAAACTTTTGGAATATAACATTGAGTAAATTTATTAGGACATAAACAAAAAGACAGATATGGAAAACAGAAGTAAAAAGATTAGAGCTATAAAGACTTAGGAGGCCTAACATCAAGCTAATTAGGATTCTCAAAAACAGAGAAAATGGAGGGAAGAAAATCATTACAGAAATAATAGAAGAAAAATTCCCAGAGGTGAAAGAGATTGTAAGGTCCAACAAGTACTGAGCAGCATGGGTTAAAAAATAATAATAATTAAATAAAAACTACATTTACACACATCCTTAGGAAATTTCAAAACACAAAGAGTAATGAGAAGATCCTAAAGTTATTTAGAGGGAAAAAAGTAGTTGACCTTCAAGTAGGGTTGTCAGATTTAGCAAATAAAAATACAGGACACACAATTAGTTTTGAATTTCAGATGAACAATGAATAATTTATTAGTACAAGTATGCTCGAAATTTTGCACATTGCATGGGACATACTTATACTAAAAAATTATTTGTTATCTTAACTTCAAATTTAGCTGGCATCTTATATTTTACCTGGCAACCCTATATTTGAAGAACTAGAATCAGGCTTATAACACAGATCTCCTCAGAAACATTGGAAAACAATGGAGCAGTGCCATCAACATTCTGAGGGAAAAACATTTTGAAGCTTAATATCCAGTCAAACTGTGAAATAATATTTACCTCCCATGGATTCATTCTTCAGAAGTTTCTTGAAGCTATATTCCAGCCCAATGAGGGTTAAAATCAAGAGAAGATATGTGACGAAAGACGATAAAATTAACCCAGGAATCTAATGAAAAGAAATCCCAAAATGACAGATATTTATCAGATCTAGAAAGAAATCAGTTTATATTACAACAGAAAACATAGGCTTCGAAAACAATACCTTCAAGAAGTAGAATGAACTGGATTCTGGACAATAGACAGAGTAAAGGTAAGAAGCAAGGAGATGTTAGTGATATTCTAAGGAAGATATATTTTTAATCTCAACCACCAAAAGAACAAAAAACAGTGGAAAGCTCCAAGCAAAATACACAAACAGTACAAAATGTTATGATCAGGATATGAAGCAAAGCAAACTATGACATATTTTGAGTAGAAGGAGTATAAGAAAAGAGAATCTATTTAACCTTAACTAGAAACATTTTTCTTCAGGCAACACCAAGATTGTGAACTAGCACACACAAGATTGGACTACTGCACTACTTGGCTCTGAATTGACAACAATTATATAGTCCCAAATTTCAATTCCAAAAGTTAAAAATCCAATAAACACCACTTATATTACGATGTTCCACCATAATATGTTCCATCTGTGGAGTGACATCAGTATTTTCCAACTTGAAGACCCTGGAGCCAATGTTTGGACCCTTGAATGATCATGAATTTGCTGAAAGGGATACAAGAATCAGTTCCCACATATATCATTTTCTAGAGAACAACAATATTAAATACTATATCTCGCATATATATTAATGATTATACATAGATTGTTATTTTAAAAATACAAATATTTTTAAATTATTAATAAATATATAGATGCTTTTTTGCCATTTTACACACTACTTAGCTACTGATTGAGAAAATATAACATTAAAAGGAAAGTCCTCATGGTCCAAAGCATTGGGAACCGCTGACCTACACCGATGTCTTCCCTAGCACTTGGTAAAGTGTTGGTACAGTATGTGGTTCAATAAATGCTTATAAATTCAACATGGATGACAAAAATCAAGCATCACCATCCTAATAACATGACTGTTCCAAATTCTTCCTTATTCTCAGAAAACCAGGCTAGAAACTCACAGCTCACAGAGTCTTCCCAGAGTTGAAAGCTGCCTGGGATCACAGGCAAGCCACAGTCTAGTGCTCTCCTTGATCCAACCAAAGCAGCAAAGCAGCCACACTAATCATCACTTGCTTAAGTCAACTAGTTGGTGGAGTCTATTAAAATCTTTAATCTGGAAATGGGAATGGTCCATTATGACAGCAACATTTAGACCACAAGTGAATGCCAAACTCAGCAGGGGTCAGACTCAATAGGTAGGTTTTTATGGTTATGGGCTTGAGTTCTCATTTTCACCTAATTGACAGGAACATTTCACTAAGAAGATATACGAGGTGTCATGGCCAGCCCCAGGTTCTCCCCTCCTGATAGCTCCTGCAATGGAACAAGTTGACACAGATAAGGTAATCAGTCATCAGCCCGTGCCTTTTTATTATAGAAATACATCTAGTGGCTTATTCTTGTAAGGTTGCAATGTCTCTGTGAAACGTGGGGTAGTCTAAGACAGAGACTAGACATTCTTTTAGTTCTTGATATAATATGGTACTTATTTCTTGACGTACATTATAAGCTGAACTCCCAAGGACCTTCCAATGGTTTACTTGTTACAAAAAGAAAAATAGAGTACAAGTTTATTTGCTCTGAAGAAGAATAAAGATCCTGTGAACTCTCCAAGAAAAATTCTAATTGCTAAGTGTTTATGATTGCTGAGCATCTTCTATTCTTTTGTTTGTTTGTTTGCTTTTTAATGCTTGGATATAGCTATTTTAGACTTTATTCTGGATGTTAGACCTGTTTGTCAACTGAAAATTGATCTGAGAGTCTCCAGAGGATGTGTAGGCTAGGTTTAGACAGTAAGTTTGAAATGATTTGAGACAGAATATTGGATCAAGTTAGCTTTTTATTTATAAGAGAAAAAAAGCACAATTAGGAAATGCCATTATGAAGGGTAAGACCTTCTATAAAAGAGATTTTCAGGTGAACACTTCCCAATTTAGCCATTAAAGAAGTAATGGTTAATATGGAAGGAGAGAAGAAAGGAAGGAAGGAAGGGAGGGAGGAAGAAAGGAAGGAAGAGAGGAAGGAAGGCAGGAAGGAGGAAAAAGTATCTAGGTACAATGGAATATTATTCAGCCATAGAAAAGAAGGAAATCCTGCCATTTGCAACAACATGGATGGACCTTGAGGGCATTATGCTAAGTGAAATAAGTCAGACAAAGAAAGACAAATAATGTACTTACATGTGGAATCTAAAAAAACTGAACTCATATCTGTTTTTTCACCAACGGGGGAGAGTGGGAGTGGGACTTTATCAATATTTCTGGTGGAATCCAAAGGTCTGGGTGTGCCAGAATGCTAGAATGTTGTCACGGGCAAGTCTCAGAATTGCCCTGAGAGGATCTCTAGGTTTTTTTCTTCCCTGTATGCTTTAGGTGTCTGGTGTTTCTTGTTTCTAAAATAATGCACTGCCTACCCTGAAAGTTTTAGGGATTTTTTTCCTTTTCATCTGAGGGCTAGTTCAGTGTTTCCCAAATTCTTTTTCAGGCTTCAGCACAAATGAGGTAACCAAAGGTGAGGAGGAAAGAACAATACACTTTCCCCACTTCTGCAAGGATCTACTCAAATTCCCACCACATGTCACATCCCCTACCCACTTGGCTGAGTGTCTTCCTAATTCTCTATTCCTACTTGAGCGTGATACCTGACCTATTGTCAAATTTCAAAGGGCCAGAAGTCAGGCAGAAATACTGGGGACAGATTTTTTTATGGTGAGATTTTGTATCAGAAGAGTCAGAAGCTCATCAGCAGTCGCCGTGCCTCCCTGGCCCTCTGCAGCATCCTGTAGTGGTCTCTATCACTATATTTCCACATTCCACAAAAATTATCTGTGTGGGTCTCTCTCCCACACTAAACTCTCCAGGATGGCTTTGTCTTATTTTGTTTGTAACCCCAGCACTTACCATTATGCTTAACACATAGTAAGCCTCCTTTGAATATTCATTGAATAAATTAAAATTGTCTAGTTTTTTTTTTGTTCTTTGAACAATATATGGGTTCAACAAAGTAGTGAGTGGCTATAGGGAAAAACCGACATAAGTACAAACAAGTCATACTTTTCGCATAGTTTATGAAATATCTATCCTCCTAATTAGGCATACCCAAATTATAAAGAAATAGTAACTATCATGGATCAAATACGCATAAATGTACTACATTTGCTAAGCATTTACATCTAACTGAATATGTAAGACAGATGTCATTATCTACAGAAGAAAACAAGGCATCAAGAGGTTAACTAAATTGCCCAAGATTGAGTGGCTAGTGAGTGACACAACTGGGATTTAAACTATTGAAATCCCAAACCCACATCACATCCCTCTCACACTGTGTATCTGAAAGTCTGCTAAATAAACAGGGAAATTATCCAGTTCTTCGTTTCTTTAAAGAGAAAAATGATCTTGCAGCATTTGCATTGCAAAGGGAACAACAATAAACCTTTGAGAACTGTATCATGTACAATGAGTTGTGCAGCAACGCCTGCCACGGGGACGAGATCAATTTGAACAATGCCAATAGTCGTGTGCTGAGTTTCATCTGGAAGTTCCAAGTATCTTATAGGAAATATTTTTTATTAACTCTGACTTTTAATTGTGATGACAAAGGGGAGACCATTGTTCTCAATTTCCTCCTCAGAGACTGACTCTTCTAAAAAGGGGCAAATGCAAAGGGGGTACTAACAATTAGTGGGTCCCTCCTAGGTGCCAAGCATTATGCTAGCACTCTTCGTATCATCTCTTCACATTATCTCTTTTAATCCTCACAATGATACCACAAAACGAGGGTTATAATTATCGTTTGACAGATGAGTAATGAGAGAATCAGAAAGATTTAGTAACTTAACATCACACAGAAACGAAGTGTTATAGCCAGGTCCTAACCCATGCCTATTTAAATGCAAAGCCTTTGTTCTTTCTGCTAAATCACACAGAACTGTTGTTCTAAATGTGAAGCTAGACTAAGCCCTTAACAACGTTCAGGAGTAATAGACTCTTGCTTAATATATAATTAATAAATATTCACTGACTTCTATGTACTCAGAAATGTGCTGGGCATAGTGCTAGAGGAATTATTGAGGAGTTAACTTATCTGAACATCTCCGATTGGGCCATTTATAGGCCACTTCGATCACTAGTATACAAACTGGAGACCATACGGATTTTTTTCCTATTCTACTTCCTATTTGTTCACAAAAAGCTGCCTTTGGAAAATTCATTCACTCCAAGCCTCCAATTGAACTTGGGCTGGTAAAACTAGCTTATATGAACCTATTCACTGGCCTGCCTATCTTGTTGATTATCTCAATAGAAAGTCAATGTTTTTCATAGACTATATTTTATATTCCTGTCAAATCAAAAAATGTGGTAAAACTTATATTGCTGCCCACACGAGTCAAGTTGTCATTTACACTGGGAGGCAGCATGATTTTGTGGTTAAAAAAGACAGACTCTGAAGTCAGACTGCCGGGGTTCTAATCCTGCTCCCCTACTCACCACTGCATGATCTTTGGCAAGTTACTTAACTCCTCTGTGCCTCAGTTCCTCAGCTATAAGGTGGGGGAAAATAGAGCACCACCTAATAGGGATGTTGTAAGGATTAACTGAGATAGACATGCAAAACACGGAGAACAGTAACAGGCTTTGTTCCCATTTCTTTCTGAAGATCTGTTGTATTCAATGGCATAGCTAAGTCTTCCACCAGAGATTTTTAGTATGCGTGCTCTTGTTCCCCATGATCTCTGAAGCTAGCCAGGGATATTTCAGCCAATGTCCCCATGACTGAATGTCACTTTACGGTGTGCTGGTGTGAGACTGGCTGCCTAACACAGGCAGTTGGAGGAAGGAAGGAAAGAAGGAATCAGAGTCTGGTTAGCCACCGTTCTTCCCATAATTACCCCAGACAACAAACTCTCTGTGCAGACCCTATGGTAGTGGTTCCCCAACCTTTTAAAAGAAGGGCTTTATTTTCATTTCTATGAAGTCTTGAAATTATCAAGAGAAGGGGAAGCCAACTCTAAAACACCTCAGGGGAGCTGGAGAGGGAGCATTTCCACTGGCTAAGTTTTACTTCCAAACTGAAAGACTTAATATCCACTGCAGCCTGAAAACTCACATATAATTTTCATCTGATTTTCAGAAGACATTGTTTTATTCTTAACTTTTTAATTCATCTTCAGCTACTTTCAGATATGAGCTCCTTTTTTCTCTAGTAATCATTTTTAAATTTTGGCAATCATCCACCACTTAGTGAGTCTCTTATCAGTTACTGTAATTGATCTCTTCCTCCAGACTAATGCAACTAAAGCCACCAAGCTACTGTTATTGAGGGGTGGCCCAAAGAGCATCTCCAGAATAGCAATGCTCTGCCAATGTATAGAACGACCAGAATGCCATCACCTTCCAAATGGACTGTTCTAATTTTTCCATTTGGATACAAATGAGATGGCTGATATGTCCTAAAAGAATTACTTATGGGCAGTGTGATCTATCAGAAAGAGCCCTGGTCTTGGCTTCTTGCTTTGGTATCTAGATGATATATCATCTCTGGATTTTCTTTTCTTCATTTGAAAAAATAAGATGGGGGGTGGGGGTAGGAAAGTGAGAGGAAAAAATGATACTTGCCCTATCTATCTCATAGTATGGCTGTGAGGATCAAATAAAGTCACAAAAGAGAAATTTTTTTACAACAAATATACATAAATACGAGGTGAAAGTATTTGTATGTCTAGAATTAAATATCCCCTCAGAAATGAATTTATAACAAGAGACTTTGGTAGGCTGCTAGCATATTGTTTCTTGAATGTGATACAAAGAATTGTGTAGCTCCTTCCACGTCTGGAAACCTTGGCCGCGTCAAGTGCACAATAGTGCTTTCAGACAACCTTAAGAAAACAGACTGGGGCTGATACATACTGTTCCTGCTTTCATTGGGGGAAAATATAAATCAGAAGGGGATACTTCACCCTTTCATCACAAGTTATTTCCTCTTCAGTGCTGTAAGAGTGCCCTGAAGTAACCACTTTCACAGAAGCTGAGAAAAGTAGTGTAGACAAACCAGATAAGCTTTTTATTGCCCTATTGTCTAATTCTCTGAAAACTAGAGGAAATAACTAAAATGGAGACACACTACTGCCCCAGTTTTTTCCTTAATATTCAAAGACCAAACTAAAATACGCTTCTGTTAGGCTTTCCAACTATTATTGTGACTGAGGAAGGCCAGAAATGATTGTGGAATGTGTGCTCACACTCTCTCACACACACACACAAAACAAGAACACCTTGATCTATTCCCATTTAGTCTTTTTAACTCTTAGTTGATATACTACTGCATTAATACTCTCATCTTTGAGTTACCTAATTGCCCACCTCTAAATTTTTGCAAATACTAAAAATGTCCTTCAAAACTCAAGAAATGAATTTCTATAAGCCTGATACTCAGGCAACCATCACCCAAAGAAGCAAATCACCACGCCTGAGGGTGCATGAAGTCCCAAAAAAGAGACCTGACCTTCCAGGCAGCACTTGATCTTTGCACTCTCTGTGAAAGAATGCGATTGAAACGCTGAAACCCACTGACGTTGGTTGTGGGTTCTTTATATCTGAAAAGTGTCCTTGTTCTGACTCGTCTTGCAGAAGTCCCACAACCTCACACAGTCCTTGCAGTCATTTTTTGTTCCTTATCTAGTTGCTCTGACTCACTTACCCAGGGGAATTTTTTCCAGCAGGTAGAGATAGCTCTGAAAGAAGTCATTGCGAATGGCTCTGTGAAGGATAAAGGACGTGCTATGTCGACAGAGTTCATCATCCGTCTTCTGCCAGCGGGATCTAAAGGCAAAATGGGCTCCCAGGTGGGCCATGGTGAAGGGGGATAATAACTATTCCTACAGAGAAAGGAAGCTTGACTGGCTGTTTCTTTTAATCAGCCTTCTCTTCCTACACGAACTTGAGACTGTCATTTTAAACCAGTCCCCTGTCCATCTATATCAGGAGAGGTCGTCATGGGGCATGGGGGGAGGGGCAGCAGACATGAGAGGTCAGGCTCTTGGCAGGTATACCGTCTGATTGCCTGGGCGACACCACTCCAAGCCAGCAGGTGCTAAGTAAAGATGAAAACAGGCTGAGTGAGATCCTGCTTCATCCAGGAAAAAGCACACCTCCCTCCTTTAGCTGTCACTTCAAACAGGCAGGAGCACAGCCCGCTAACACTCTGAATATTTGCTTTAATTTGATTCCTAAATTGAATAGCCTAATTTCCATTTCAAAGAGTTGTGAATATTTTGCAGGAGATCCTGTTCCCTGATTTCCATCACTCCCCCTGGAACGCTGAATCCTCAAGTTACAAGGACCCTTCAAAGTCATCTTAGCTAACCACACTCCTTTTATCAGTACAATTTTGCCCAAATCCTTTCATAGAGATGGATATGTGTTTCCCATTTTTAAGGATCTTCAAGAGACATAATTATATGAAAGCCTGTTTCAATGTTAAATACCCTTCTCTGTCAGCAAACTCGTCCATCTAGCTTGCTCTAAACGACACTGAGTCATGTAAGCCTGTTTCTTCCTCTCTGCCTATTGTGGATATGTTTTCCTCATAAGTACTCATTTGGTTTCCGTACTGGGTGTCTTTTGATTGTGCATCTCCACTCTTCCCACATTACTATGTGCCCCAGGAGGCTTATCTGTATTAACAACATGAGGGGATTCTTTTGCCTTCTGGCTTCTAGTTGGGTTCAGCCAATGGGTAGTACCAGCAGGAGACCGGAGGAGAGTGAGTCACGGCATTTATTCCACTGGCACCTTCCTTGTGGAGATGCCATAGACTGACTGCTTCCTATAGTGGAAAGGCATAGCTCCTGTCCAGGAGTCTTCTAATGCAAATATCCTCTCCTAGTTCTGATAAGTGCTCCTTCTTCTTACGGCTTCAGGCCTTGGTGTAGTGATGTGTCAGGCCGTCAGGAGTAATGCACTCTTCCCTACAATTTCCCTATACTTACCCATACTTTTGTAAATAGTCCTTTTATTAAACTAGCTCAAATTCTCAATTTGTGAATGTCATCTGTTTATTGTAGGAACCATGCCTACCATTTTACTAATCTAATGTTCCTAACAGGAAAATCCATAAAAACTCAATACTCTATTGGTCCCATACCATGTGCAACCACTGACCATCTCCTGCCCCCGAACATACACATACACACACACACACACACAAAAGCACAAATGCACACATTAGGGTAGTCAGCTTCTAAGATGGCCCCTAAAGATCCCCACTTCCTTCCTGATATTTGCACCTTTATGTAATCCTTTTTCCTGAGTGTGGGTTAGACTTAATGACTCAATTCTAAAGAATAAAATATGGCAGAAGTGATAAAGATATCACGTCTAAGATCAGGTTATAAAAAGACTGTCTTGGGCATCTTCTTTTGCTCTCTTCTTACTTGCTCTATTGTGAGCTGCCCTATGGAGAGGCCTACATGGCAAGAAATTGCCTCAGTGCAACAGCCCAGGAGGAGCTCAATTCTACTAATAACCATGAGTGAGCTTGGAAGAAGATCTTCCCTAGCCGACTTGATAAAAGACCCTGAGTCAGCTAAGCCACATCCAGGTTTCTTACCCACAAAAATAAACGTTTCTTATTTTAAGCAGCTAAATTTTGGAATAATTTGTTACAAGGCAGCAGTGGATAGATACTTCAAACATCATCAGTGGAATTTTTTTAAGATGTGGAATCTAATCGTCATCTTTCTTTAAGTTTAATTTGTGTGTTAATCTTTTACTGGGAAAGGAAGTAAGGATTCTATTTGTTTGACTCATTTTCCTTCATTCTCGTATGCTTCTGTTTTCCCATATCCCCTCTTCCGACCTCAAGAGGCATCCATTCAATTTCGGTGGGATTGTCCCCATCCTTGGCTTCAGGAATTGCCCAAATTGCAATCTGAGTTACCCATTTTCCCCTTCCCATAGTGTGTGGTTCATGGATGGATACATCATCCCGTCCTGAGCCAATCAATACATGCTGTTCCTTCATGCCCAGTTTTCATTTGAGACTGGGCACATTATCTAAATCTTTTACTGTCAATGCTAGCCTGAGTTGGGTTTTCTGTGTTATCAACGTGGAGTCTCATCTAATACAAATACCATCCTGTCTCATTTCTCATGAGGATGGAGATAAAGTAGATGATAAACAGAACAGGGAAATGTCAAAGGAGAGTATTTCAGCATGTTAAAAAGGAAGGCTCTTAACCAAAATTAAACAGATTTGACTAAGTTAGAAACTCATTTTCACCTCTTACATACTGAGCAACCTTGACAAATTCTTAGTCTCTCTGAGCTTCACTTTCCTCTTCTGTAATACAAAGATAATGATAATCGTATATACCTCATATGATTGTTGTGAGGACTAAATAACTCCAGGTAAAACATGACAGTGCCTGGCACATAGTACATGTTCAATAAGTGCTAGCTATTATCGTTATAATCTTTGAAAGAAAGTTGATGATAAGTTATAGGTCCTGAAAATACCTTGTCTATCTGGCTTTTCTTGAGTTGTATTCAATTGACGCTTTCTCTTACCATGAACTTTCACCACATATCCAGGAGATTATTTGTACTCAATGCATTTAAGAGTTGAAAAGAAAAGAAATCCAAATGAAATGTGCTGTTAGAGCTCATTCACCTATCCTTCAGAATTTTCTGTTGTAGGGAAAACTAAGCCACAGAAGAAGAAAACTAAGAGATCCTCCTTTGTTATTTGTATTTGTTAATACATCTAAAATCTGGCAATCACTGACTCCAGCTACTCAGGATTCTTTATTTGGCAATTGATATTGGCAAGTTTCTCAGTTTTTACAGAACGAATTTTCTTTCACTATAAAATGGACATTAGTTACTTATGTTTGGAGGATTATTAAGTATTCTAAGATCTCTATATTTCAGACCCATAATTCCTGAGTGGAGATGAAAGACTGATTGATTTATACAAAATGCTTTTGTCAGCTTTTGTTTATCTCTGTGACTCACATTAGATTTTGTGACTATTTCTCATACTGGTATAGCTTGTACCAGTTTCTGGCTCATTGCGTTTGTTCCCTTGTGTGAATAATTTTTCTCTCACAGCTGAAATGGTATTGAGGTATTTGCTACCACCTCATACCACTCTTGACCATATTCATACTGAGTGAGTGAGGTTATGATATAGATCTCCAGTCAACCACAGGCATTCAATTTCCAGGCAGGAAAGGAAAACAATGAATGCAGAGGAAAGAAATATGACCGTAGCAAGAGAAGGTGGAAACTCTGAATTTATCCAACTTGGTTTGCCTTCTCACAGGGGATCCTTTGGTGAGGAGTAGGCCACTGTTAAAAATAAATTAGCATGGAGAGAGACTCAGAAGTAAGAAAGATAAAGAAAGAAAGAAAAAGAGCCATATAGAAAGCATACTCATTCAGTAGTGTGATAAGCTAAATATTTGGGAAAATCCACTCAATATAAAATACCTATCAAATTAAAATTCCATAATACTTTGAACTGAAAATTCAACAGAAAGGATACAATAAAGATATTTTCAGACAAAGATAGAATTTACCATTTATAGATGCTCACTAGAAGCATAACTAAGAAAATATATTTCAGAAGAAAGGAAACTAAGACAGTGTGTTATTCATACAGGAATAGGTAAAAAGATTACTAAAACAAAATACAGAGCTCCTACACAAATCCGTTTACATATGGTTGATATAAGACAGAGATATTATTGCAGTAGAGAAAAGATATTTTTAATAAGAGTCCTGATGTTGGCACAATTGGATCCCTACCTCACATCCTACACAAACCAATTCTAGGTAGACTGAAGACTTAAATGTGGAAAGCACAATTCTAAAACTCTTTGAACAAGATATAGGAAAAAATATTTATGATACCAGGGTAAAAAAGGATATTTTTTTTAAGATGCAAAAAATAAAAACCATAAAGAAAAAGAGTTAATTAATTTCACTAAATTAATATTTAAATAATGAAATTCTGGTCATCAAAAAAAACAATAAAGAAAGTGAAAAGTCAACAACAAATGGATAATAAATATTTGCAGCATCAATAATCAATAAAAGTTTGTGAATTAAATATATATGAATAGTTCCTACAAATAAAAAAGAACAATACTAACAATCCTATAGAAAAATGGAGAATAATATATATAGAATTAGAGGCTAAAACAAGGCTCAAATAAAAGTGCCAGAATCAGGATTCCCAACTCCAACCCAGGGAGGTAGATTTAGAAGGCTAAAATAATAGGCCAAAATCAGTGAAATTAAATTTAGGATAAAATCATCAATGTATATTTTTGTATACAGGTTATAGTGAAAATTAAAGATAAGAATACAGAATGAGTAATTCTTGCCTGATAAACTCAACGTGTCTTTGTGCTAACATGGGCATTTAAGTAGACTTTAAGCTTAGAATAAGACAGCAGTATAAAAAACAGTGCAAACAGGCTTCAATGAGTGACTCTTAAACAGACCACCAGGCCTCACTTGACCGTATACTGGTCCAACCTCATAGGGAGTGTTTGCCTCTTTCTTTATCCTGTTTTGTTTAAGAAACAGGCACCCAACCAAGATTATCTCTGATTATAACTTGGAAGTCATTAACAAAGCCCATTACCCTAATGTGTGCTTGGAATATATGGCACAAGGGGAAGTTTAGATGACTATTTTCACCCACTGTAGTGCTTCGCGGAGTACAGAAAGGCTGTCCACTGTGTGTACAAACCAAT